CTGCAGGCCAGATCTGGCACTATACCAGTTTTTGTAAGGGAAGGTTTATTGGAACACAGCCACACCCATTTGTTTATGTATTGTTTACAGCACCTTTTGCATACAATGACAGAGTGTAGCTGTGACCGAAGTCAGATGTGCCACAGGTCTGCAAAGCAGAAAATATTTACTCATCTGACCCTTTACGGAAAACGTTTGCTGACCCTGGTCCTACATAATGGCCTTTGAGAAAAATGATCTTAGTTCCCTGGCCCCTTCCTTCTAAAAGTGCTCTTTATCAGACCAAATGCTATTGGTGGCTTAAGCCACTACTCCTGTGTCACAGAGTTTGGGTCCTTCAGTTCTCCTCCGGGTGCAATCCTGAATATTATAAATCTTTAGAGTATGACTCCTAGTGTAGCACACACCCCCATGCGTCCCACCCCTGAATCTGGGCCATCCAGCTTAGAGGTGGGAGTCTCACTTCCCATATTCTGGACAACAGCCTTCAGACAAGGGCAGCCAGACTCACATCTGAGACTGACATAAAATCCTTAGGTCTTTAGCACCACATGTAATGCTTGTAAACTCTGTCCCATGTCCCTATCCTTTGCACCTGCAATTATACTTGTGAATTTCAACATCTGACTTTGTATCCATCCTTATTAAATTCCTTCTTGAGAAATTTTTGTCCTTTTTTTTTTCCTGGCTCCTTAGAATCACTTAGGATTTTGACTCCACTAGCCAGAGTATTTACCAAGCCTCCTGGCTTCATGTCTTTAGAGAATTGGCTCAGCTGGTTTTCTGGGTCCTCATCCAAGTCACTGCAAAAATCTGTTGGAGCAGCCCAGGCTGAGGGCTGCGTCCTCCAGGATGTGATGGGAACATGCTCTCCAGCTTGGCTTTGACCCTTTGGAGATCGTGGCTGAGTTGGCTAAGAAGTCAACCAACTTCTCTGCTGTCCAGCTCACATCTCTTTACCTTAGCTGAGAGATGCCATGACAGTTTGGGTCAAGGGCATTTCAGACACAATGTGGTTACATACAGGGCTCTCTCATCTAGTCGCCTCTTATCCTGTCACAACACAAATAAAGTCACTTGCTATAACTTATTCCTAGGGATCCTTTAATGGCTCCCTCTCTAAGGGTCTACATACTGCCTGTGTGTATGATTGGGAATGATTACAAATTCTGAGTAACTTAGAATCTACTGCATGTTTTGTTAGGTCTTACCAGAATCTAGGGCGTCTTATTCTACGGTTCACGAGCTTCCATGGGAATAAATTACATCTTTATCTTCACTAATTCCTAACTGAAATGATGCATGTAAGACAGACATCACCACTATTAGCCTGGCCTGTGACTTTGTCACCAATATAAATCGTGTGTGTTTCATATCACACGAGTTGTTGTATCTCTTAAATATCTTTTAGGTTCAAACCCATTTCAAAAGTATGGTACTTACAAGATATGCCGCTAGATCTTGTTACTTAGTGCATTAAAACAGAAACACCTATTTTACCATATTATAGATTTAAAAATTGTTTTAATAGCTTCATTTTAATATACTTGGTTTCCTTGTCAATCTTACATATTTCATTTTATAAATTCAAAAATACTACTCTGGGGTATGTTGGTGTCACCAGATTGCCAAAAGGGTTCATGCACAGATATCCCTCCTTGTGATGGCAGCAGCCCCCTGTGAAAAGCCGAAGGGGCCAGAGCTCTGCACAGAACTCCCCTTTGCCCAGGCAGATCTCCAAGGAGCAGAGGAAACCGTATGGCACTTTGGTTTCTTGTCTTCTCTTCTCTCAGACAAGGGTGACGCTAGCAATACTTGCCTTCCTACTGACAATTTGAACAGGAAATGTAGCCTCCCAATTCTTTTCTCCCGAGCCAAGCATGCCTGGGTTTGAATGACAGCTCTCCCAGCTACTCTCTGACGCTCAATCTCCTGATTTATAAAATAAGGACATTGCCACTTACTTTGCAAGGTGGTAGTAATGTTCAACAAGGTGACATGGAGTTAGGAGTATAAGCAGTTTATTGATGGAGAGGTGGTATTATAACAGATAATGGGGGAGAGAGCAGAATTGGGCAGAAAGAGCCTTCAGACCATGATGTAGATCTGACATCCATGAAAGGCAAGAGGGGACAGCCAGCCAGGAAGAGCCTCAGACTGTGATTTCAGCCCTCACTAAGCCTTCACTGACCAATGTGGTGGCTCTGGAGCAAAGATCACCTGCTAAAGGAGTCAGACAGAAGTGGCACATCACACCCAGGCATCGCTACTCTGGGAACCTTTGATACCCCAGAAGAACATGGCCTTGGCTTAAAAGCTGAGGTACAGCCCAAAAGTGTTATGGCCCAAACTATCAGCCACCTTCTCTCCTTGCAGCTGAATGGCAAAGTCTTTTTTGAAAGGGAGATATGAGCAGTGTGCCTCCATATCTGTCCCAATTGAAAAGGCTAATAAGCATGGTTGTGGTGTAACATGCAACACACCTACAGAGAAATAAGCATACATATGGCCCGTGTCTCTAGGAGGACTGCTTATTTGCCTTTACCCACGCTGAGTACCAGAATCTTGAGTATAGTAGGTAAGATCTTTCTAAGCTAGGAATCTTTTCATAACAATACCTAGAATAGTTCTTGGACTTCTGACTACATGAAGGTGGCAGAAAATTTGGTGAGAATGACTTGATGACTGAGTACATACTCTGTAATGATAATGACGACAAAAATAGCAATTAATAATAATGCTGAAGATGATATCGCGTGTGTAAGGAATGTAGCACAGGTCATCACAGGGCTAGACATCAGGCACTGATGCTAGGTCCTCTCTGCATCCTCCAAGAACTGGAACTTACTCAGAGTGGGTGAGGGGTCAGTTCGGATCCCGAGCCGACTCTTCCCCTCCCAGGGGTCCTCTGGTGGGTTTCACACTATCTTATCCCAGGTGGTGGATACTGAGACCCTGTTTCTTCCTTTGGATTCTGTCACTAACCAGAGACAGTACATCTTTACTTAGGGTGTGGGGAACTAAGTTAAACACTCTAGCCTACAGTCTCTCTGGAAGAATCTGTCCTGCTTCAGGGTGATGATGCTCTGCTGTGACCCTATGAAGAGCATCGGAGTCCCAATGGCAGTAAGAATCATTCCCTGCTTAAGGTCTGAGTGGAATACCTCCATAGCCCTAGTACACCTCCTGGGTAATGCCTTTAACAATCCCTGACACCAGGACATAAAATTAACTGGGAGCTAATGCTGTTTAGTCAATCCCTGCCCAGGATTACTTGGGCTACGTGGACATATAGTAGCATAGCTACTAATTTCCTTTCCCTGCTTTTTCTTGCTGGGTTGAGTCCATTTGTAATGGATGAGGGAGATATTTGCTTCTGTCCTTCATTGAAGTGACAGGATGGGAACTTTGGACTTTTAAGTGGATTTGTGCAAATATTTTTTTCCAGGATTGCCTTCCATCCTCCAATCTCAGGTCCTTTGGCAAGTTCCTTGGCAGTGATAAAAGTGTCATCCAGCAGATGGGCTGTCATCCCCATAGCTGAATGGTGAGCCGAAGAGCCAGAGGAAGGCAGATGCTGCCAGGAAGAGCAGCCACTTGCCAGCTTCTCCTTGGCTGAGCCATTGCATGCCTGGCGTGATGTATAGCCACATGGCTGGGAGAAAGCTTGGCCGGCTGAGGTCCAGCGTGCTTCACTCTCCAGATACAGGCTCAAAAACAGGACTTGACCTCCAACAATAATAACATTTATCTTTTTCTTTGAGAATCTCTTAGTTTGTAGGCCCTTTCCTTGTTTTACATTATTTAACAACACTCTGAAGCAAGAATGATTATTTCTGGGTTATAGATAGAGACAGTGAGGCTTGGGAGTCCCTCACCCCTGATGGGACAGTTAGCAAGTGGTAGTCCTGGGATGTGAACACAGATGTACCCAAGCCAAGGCCTGTAGTGTGTGTTCTCTCCTCTATGCATATGAATCAGGAAGTAATGAAGCCAAGTGTATCCAGTCTGCGCGAAAAGCATCTGCTGAACAGATGCCTGGATACACTGGCTGAATGCCATGAGGATATGGCTTTTTCTTGGCGATGAGGGCAATCTCAAGAAAGTGCTCCATGGCAGAGGCGCTTTAACCATGAGTCACTCTGTTGCTCTCTTTGTGGAAGTTCAGTAAAGGAGCCATAGAGATTCACCTATGAATCTATGAAGGTAACCTGTAGAGCTTACCTTTTTATGTTCCAACAATTCAGAAGAGCTGTTCTGTTAAGTAATATCCTCCCAGGAGCATGTGGAGTTTGTGAGAAGTCATGTGACCCATGTTAATCAGCACCCAGGTAAAATTCAGCTGTTTATGGGATCATGTACACTGATTTACTAACATGTCCAGATAACCTGTGTCCACCTTTTTTTTTTTTAAATCTAAGAGTCACCTATTAACTCCTCTTCCTCATTGGTTTTCAAATTATAAAGCTAAGCTCCTGATAAAGACAACCTAGGTTGTCCATGATCTGGCTTTTGCCTGTCTTTCAGCGTCATCTCTGGACTCTTAATCCTTTGCAGTTCATACTCCAGCCTATCAACATCCTGGTGTTTCCAGAAATAGATACACAGACCCAGGTCTTTGCCCTTGTTGATCTCTTTCCTAAAAAAGCCCTTCCTCAGCCCACCTTGCCTAGTCCTTGCACGTCTGTCTCAGCTCTGAGACCCCTTCCCTGACATCTCTAGTGAGGCATAGGCTCTCCTTCTCCCTCCCATCCTCTCATAGCATCTTCTTAGACCTCCATATCCAACTTTTGGAATCATCTGTTTTCTCCTCCCTCTTCTGCATGAGCCCCTATGAGCCTCAAGGGAGGGAAATGCGTCTTACTGTTCTCTGAATGCCAATCATTTATCAGGTAACCTGACTCACAGTCAGCACTGGAGACACCTTTGGGACTTTAACCTCAGGGCATGTTGGAATCTCAGTCAAGGGCTGTAGGAAGAGGTAGAACAGAACCCGAGGGCGGGAACTCACCAGCTGTGTAAGTGGCCTTCACTGTGGACTAGAGCACTTCCCAGAATCAGTGTCCAACCAAATGTGAGTAAAAAGAAACTGGTCCATGCAGACTTCACCCAAGCTTCCCAGGAAGGATGCAGCACCCACATTCAAGCATCTTGGGTTTCGGTGGGTAGGTCAAGACTCTGGGTGTGGGGCTCCAGACTACGTTGGGGACAAGGGAGTCATTTGTTCCTGGAGGAGAAATATGTCAGGGCTTTGCAGGAAAGCAGGGCCTGGCTAACCATGGTGGATTCTGTACCAAGATTCCCACGGCAAGGCAGAAAATCTGGGACAGAAAACCCTTGAAATGGTTGTGACAGTTTGGCAATGGTTAGGGAAAGACACAGGGATGCACAGGGGTCACAAATTGTTCAGCAGGTACCGGTCACTAACTCCCCACCTAATTCAATGTACCTCTCAAGCTCTCTCTCTCTCTCTCTCTCCCTCTCTCTCTCTCTCTCTCTCTCTCTCTCACACACACACACACACACACAACAGCATGCCTGCTGGTGAAACGTGCATCTTTATGAGAAATATTCCACCAGGGCAAGGTGGAGCCTGAAGCTATATACCTCAGTCAGGGATGTGGGCTGGGACTAAGAGCTAGACATAAGCCACCTGTAGTAATCAAACATGGAAAATGCCAATCGAAGGTGAAATAAGTATTTAGGAGGTGGGACTCACATTGAGTAGATTCTGCATGCTGAGGCTGTGAGCTGAGTGCTTCAGTGCACAGCCCACCCCCTTAATTAATTTAATTAAATTAACTTGATATTTAATTGAAATTTTTGAGATGACTGTATATTCAGACACAGTTGTAAAAAAAAAAAAAAGAGAGAGAACCAGGGTACTCATTTTCCCCAAATAGGATCATCTTGCAGATGTATACTTTGATATCATTAACATAATGTCAATCATATCTTTGACATTGATACTATCTACTGATTGGGTTCTCATTTCTCCAGTTTTACTTGTATCCATTTGTGTATTTAGTTCTATGCGACTTTATCACGTGTAGTTTGTGTATCTGCCACAGTTTTCAAGATATATAGCAGTTCTAACACTACAGGATACTTCCTGTGCCCTTTTATAACTATACCCTCCCCCCAGAACCTTTCCTTATCCCCAATATATCCTTGCATTTGACAGCTAAGTCTCAGAGAATAATGTCATTTGTTAAACATCATCCAGTTAGTGAGTATGGTTTGGGTTCAGAAATTTGTCCAGAAATATACATCACATTCATTTTCTTATATTTCTCTTTGTTCATTCATTCAACAAATATTTATTGAGTCCCTACTGCATTCTAAGCACTAGTCTACAGACTAGAACTTCCGCAGTAAAACGATGACTGAGCCACTGCCTCTCGTGGAGTTGTCGTTCGAGTGGGAGAGTGACCAGTAATGTGAAAGGCCAACATACAATCCACTTTCAGGTGAGGCAAGGATACCTGCTCGGAAGGAAAACAGAGGCAGGGGCTGGAGGGGTGGGGGCATGCTGTTTCAGACAGGGCGACCAGGAGCCCCTGCTGTGAGGGGGTGGAACTCGAGGAGTGTTGACTACTGAGAAGTAGGGGGCACTGGACTCTGGGGGAGAACATTCTGGGCAGAGAGGAGAGTGATCACAAAGCGGCCAAGGCGGGAATGATTTGGGCATGTCTTGGATGTCAAGGAGGCCAGTGTGTCTGGAGCAGAGGAGAGAGGGAGAGACTGAGGACTTGGGGTTCAACTGGGGGCTGGAGACCCACTATGTGGGCCTTGCAGGCCATGGGAAAGACTTTAGATTTTATCCCATGTGAGAGTGGAAGCCACTGGAAGGTTTTGAGCAGGAGGAGAACATTTGATTTTCAGTTTGTAATAAACCACCCTCTGGCTGCTGGGTGCAGAACAGGCTGCAGGGGCCAAGTCGGGAGCAGGGAGAACAACTGGGTGGCACCAGCCACAAGCCATGTGAAAGGCAGTGGTGGCCTGGGCCAGTGTGACAACGCTGGAAATAATGAGAAGCATTTGGGCTCAAATGTATTTCATTGGTGGACCCCACAGGACTTGATGAAGGATTGGATATGGGTGGGTGTGGGAGCAGACCTGAAAAAGGAGTCATTTTGGACAGTGCTTTAAATTGAGTCACTTCTGCTCCTTACCCAGCAGTTTGTGCCAGACATCAGGAATCCTATTCTACGTGGAAGGACCACTGTATCTGAGGCACTTCTTACTTCTCTCCCTCCGTCTCTCTCAACACATGTCCTGAAGGTCCAGCAGAGAGGAAAATATCCTTGATCTCAATCTACCCATGAGAAAGGCAGTATTGGCCCCGCCATTTAGCGAACTCCCTACATGGAACCCAGTGCCAGGCCCTGCTGATATTGGGGAACTGGAGTCTGGCCGGCCCCGGTCTCTGACCCTGTTGGCTCATACATAGTCTGGTGGGAAGACAGGCAGATGAGGAAACTGTGACAGTGTCAAATGCCTATGTGTGATGTGGCAGGCAGGGGCATCGAGGGCCAGGAGGTGGGTGTCACTGGGCTGTAACGACTGTGGTTAGGTGGTGTGTTAGGGATGGTGTCATGGGAGGTGGGGATGTACGAGGATCAGTCTTGAGCCTTGAGGACGTGATCTCTGGTTGTGAAAGGAGGCTATGGCTTCCTGAGATGGACAAAAGCAACGGCTAAAAGACTGAGTCACTGTGCAGCCTGCCGGGCTCGGGGACGGGCAAGGTGTTTGTCTCAGTGGAAACGCAGAGTTTGTGTGGAGGAGAGGAGGGAGATGTAGCGGCCAGCTCCTGACATCTGGCTGAGCTGCTTGGATGGAATCCTGATGGTAACTGGAATGGGCTGGAGCACACAGTGATTTTAAGGAGAGAAGTGGCTTGGTTAGATTTGGATTTTGAAAGTTCACTCATGATGAGGCCAGGATCATCATGTGGGAAGGTCTACATCTTTCCTTGGGTGGAGAAAAAGAAGCTGCTCCTGGCCTCAGCTCATCACCCTTCCTGGGCATTCCTAGTCTAAACTTCAGGCTTACCTGATGTAGCTCCACAGATTATAGTCTGAACTGGCCAAGAAGGGCCCCCAGCAGCTCCTCTGAAGTAGTGTCCACGCTGCTCACGGTGGTCAGTGGAAGTGCCCATTTGCTCATTGCTCAGGCAGTAGCATCTGTTGTAGGAGGCCTGAGTCAGGGACGGGTGGCAGATGAGCTTGCGAGGAGGCCCCTCCGTCTGGAATCCGTGTCCCTTCCCTGGAGGCTGTGGGCTTTGCTTCCTGGGTGGTCTCAGGCTCACCCTCTCATCTCAGTTTCTCCATCTGGAAAAATGGGAGAACAACAACATGTAACCTCTTGAGATGCAGCAAGAATTACTGAGTGCAGAGGATTTGCAGGAGGCAGAAGAAAGTCTTTCTCCATGGTGCTTCTGTCTGCAAGCAAGACTCCAGCACGGTGGCCAGATAAGAGCAGCTGCAGAGAGGGAGTGAAAACACACGTGGGTTATAGATAAGCTCAGTTCTTGCTCTTGTTTCTCCTTCCTCGGGGCCGTGGATTCACTGTGGTTCAGACAGACAGGAGACTTTGCCAAGGAGACAACGTCTGTCCCATGGTTGCTGAGTTTTCTCGCCTGTAAAATGGAGCTATTTGGTCATCTCCACCCGATGATGTGAGAATAGTTCTTGTGTAACTCTTCCTGCTGTCAAGATCTTATTTTAGATTAACTGAATGAATCTGTACAGCGACCCCATAAAGTAGGACTGCCTGCTCGAAGTCACATGGCTAGCGCATGGGAGATCTGAGTCTCAAATATTCGTGAACTTGTTGCCTAAGATCATGCTCTAAAGTCCAACTCACTGGAGTACCTGGGTAGACGGGAAGGTTGCAGATGGGCAGAGAGGGCCCTCCGTACCCTCTTGTCCCTTTAAGTTAGCTCCTGCAGCCCCACTTGGCTAGGTCTGCAAAGTATCTTTTGTTCCCATAGAAGCTGGTCTGCGCTCAGAAGGCTGTGCTCCCTGATCATGCCTGCCATCACTCTGCCATGTGTTCTCCTGGTGCAGATCCATTCCCCCAGCCCTCAGATGCCTGCGTGGATGCCCCAGCTCTGTCTCACCTACGAAGTACTGTACTTCTCCCCGCCCCACCACCAGCCTCTGCCACTGTCTCTCTGGCTGCTGAATCTAGCACACTTCAAACACCCTGCTGGTACTTCTCCTTTGCTAAGATAGCCCTGCTCCACACAAGCTGAAAGGGAGTGGTTGGAACTGAACGTTGCATTAGCATTAGTATCGGAGATCGGCCCCTGCTCTGGGTCTGCCCTTGGTGGCTCAGCGTCTCAGAGCGCGGAGAAGAATACAGGAGGGCATGAGGAGGGGGAGCCTCGGCCACATCAGAGCAACCTGCAGAGGGAGACCCTCCAGAGGCACTCTGTCCCAAGACCTGCAGGAGGGCACTGAAATCACACTGAGTGGCACTGCCCAGGGGTGAGGCGTGGCCTTGCCTGGGTGACACGAGGACACACAGTTGTCAGTCACTTGTACAGCACTTACTACGACTGGGCATTGTACCGAGCGTGTTGCAAATTCCAATTCCTTTGAAACACTCAGCAACTCTATCAGGATGGTACTCTCCCTATCCCCACTTCACAGGCAGGGAAACTGTCAAGGGGAAACTGAGGCACGTGGAGGTTAAGTAATGTGCTCCACATCACACAAGTAGAAAGAGGCAGAACAAGGGTTTAAACCCAACCCCCCAGCTGGAGTCTGTGCTCTTAACTGCCACTCCAGACTGCTGGCTAGCTGCTTCTTCTGCTGGGTGTTCCCTTTGCTGAAGCTGAGGGCCCCTGGCTGGAGCCAACCCCCACCCGTTCAAATACTTGGGGCCCCCACACTGATTGGAGTCCTTGTTTCTTTCACTCAGTGGAAATAACACAAACTGCCAACTAGACCCCCTAACTTAATTCTCTGCCCTTCCCAAGCTTAGGGACCTTGGACAGGTTAACGTTGGCTCTGGACATCTCAGTTTTTCCACCTGTAACATAGGGATGTCTCTGCTGGTCATGCA